CCGTTGCCATGGGTGGTAAAATAGTGGAGGAATTTTTTAATGAAACTATTTAGACGGCATTGAGATTGTGATATTTCTTATATCAAAAAAATTGACTGTTAATAAAAATTCAGTCACTTTCAAAGAGTCAAAAGGAATAAAATATTGAATAAAACTTTCACAATTCTACCTTTAAATAAAGTAATTGCATTTTTAGACCATCATAAATTCTAAAATTCAGTACATAATGGAGTTAGAGGCAAACAATTATTTAGCTTTTCTAGATGTGTTAGTAATTCGGAATCCTGATAACACTTTGAGCCACACTGTGAATAGAAAAAGACCCATACAGATAGATATTTAATCGAAGATTCTCATCACCATCCTTCACAGTTAGCTACCGTGGGCAAATCACGAAGGATCTGTAACAGCAAACACCTGGCCGCCGAGCTTCAGCACATCAAACACGTTCTGCACGACAACAAGCTTCGGCTCCCGCGCCTACGTCACAGTGGCCGAGTGAAGCCGGCCACAGTCGAGCGTGTGCCTGCTGTACTACCATAATATGTCAGAGGTGTCACAGACAAGGTTGGCTACTTCTTAAAGCAAGCTTCCATTAAAACACTTCAAGCCGTCGAAGAAGATTAGTCAGTTCTTATAAACCATTACCATCCGTCAAGTGCAATATTCCTCTACAAGATGCAGGAGTATACAAGCTTGATTGTGAATGTGGTCTCTCATATATGTGGCAAACACAGCGATCTATCAAAACCCGCGTAAAAGAACACATAGCTGACTTGAAACAAAACGTAAACGTTCCGGTAAGTCTGCAGTTTGTGATCATATCCTAGACGGCCCCCGCCCTTACATTAGATTTGATAAACCACAAATTCTCACGAAAGAACATCGATCCCTGCCAATGATGATACGTGAGGCTATTGAAATCCTAAAAGATCCTAATTTCAATAAAGAGGGAGGCTGGGTACTACCACCTGCTTGGGCTCCTGTAATTAATAAAATTAAAACTAAACTCAAACATACCACTGCAATACTTCATGACACAGTAAGTTCATTCTGCGTAGATCGGACCAAAATTAATAATTAAAAAAGCTGAAGGTACTCCGGGTTAACTCTGACATCGGGACGTCAATCACCTCAGTCCCCCCGTGACCATGGGTGCTGTTAAACATCCGAAAAGTCGGGAATTAATAAAAAAATAAGTTAATTAACCTCGTAAGGCCTAATGTGATCAGAGAAGTACTTAATAATTTATGCGTTTCGGCCCAATACGAAAAATATTGTCATCAAAATTGCCGCCCACTGTCATCCACTGAGGACAAATTATATTTTTGTTCCTAGATTAAAAAATTCGCGGGTTTTTGTATTTCTTATTAGACGTCATTGATTGGCCCTCTTGCTAGCAACATTTAGAACAAGAGCAAGTAGGCAACCAACCACAGATAGCTCTTAATTTTAAACTGAATTGAGCCAACATGGAGTCCACGCATCGTCATGGTGAGTTTTGATCTTGATTTATTTAATAAATCCGTTTATTTTTCCAACAAATCATTTATAAACATAAAATGTAGATTTTGTTTTACGTAAATATCGTATTATTTTACCATATACTGCTGTGCATAAAAAATCATTTTGATTTAAAAAAATATGTGATTGAACAATCACACGGGGCGGTAGTTACAATTACAGTCATTTTTTAATTGGTATTATGTGAGGTCATTGGGCGTTAATCAGTTAAGTAATCGTTTTTCAGAAAATTGAAGTGTTTTGTTTTAAAGTACTTATTTCTATATATTATAGTTTTGCGCGGTGAAGATGTTTCTAAATTATTAAACGAATTGGAGATTGAAGACTTCGCACCTAGTGATGAAGATTTGGATGACCATAGCCCACCTTTTAGACTTGAGTTAGATCATTTATCTAGTTCTAATGATTTTGAAAGATCAGAGCCAGAAACAATGCACGAAGAAAGAATAGTACAGCTAACTCCATCACGTGCTCGTCGTGGTTTTATTCGTGAAAGTAATCGTGGTCGTAGCAGCAATATACCTTCCTCTGCCAGTGATTAAAATTTCTTTACCTGGTTAGTCTGAAAAACTAGTCCCACCGAAAGAAATGAAATTATCGCAGCCGACTTATTTACCACTTAACTCAGGTTTTTTTGAAAAAGTTACATATTTTGAACAATATATAGATGAAAAGTTTATACAGTTACTCGTTGAAAGAACAAACTAAACTTCAGTAAAATTGCATATAAGAAGCACGAATTTAGATATGAATTAATTTTACGTGTGCATCGGGATTACATTCGTTATGGCTTCTGTAAACTACGAGTATCCAGTAATAAGAATGTACTGGGAAAGTAAATGGAGAATAACGGTAATTGCGGATAACATTACACAGATTTTTACAAATCAGAAAAGCTATCAAATTTGTATTTAATGGCAATGTTAGTCAAGCTGAACGTGCGGAAGATAAGTTATGGAAAATCAGACCATTGATACAGCGAATTCAAGAGGGTATAAAAAAATGAAAAAGACATATCTCTTGACGAAATGATAGTGCCTCTTAGAGGGGCATGTGGAATTAAACAATATTGCCCCGGCAAACCAAACCCAGTTGGTATGAAAGCCTTTGTTCTTGCAAATCCCAGTGGAATAGTGACAGATTTTCATATTTATCAATGGTCAACCACTTACAAAGAGTTAGAAGATTTTAACTATGGATTGGGAGAGAAAGCTGTAATCACTTTAGCTAATACACTTGTCCCAGGACACATCCTTTACTTCGAACGATACTGCACCTCAATAAAACTGGCAAATGAACTTTTAAAGAGAGGAATTGGTTGCACAGGCACTATCATGAAGGACAGAATTCCAGCTGCTGCATGCTTTTAGTTTATTATGTTAAATAAGGAGTAAAAGAAGTATAATGTTGAATTTTTTTATATGTTTTATTTATTACACTTAAAGCCAATGTCATCATCTGATCACAAATAAAACTTTAAGTAAAATGCAACAACGACCCAATGTCTTCACAAGAGAACAAAAATAATCGCCTTAAAAGTTCTAAAAGTATGCTCAAAGGGGTGTTATATATGAGGCACATAAAGTGTTTTTTTCTATCTTTCCTAGAAATCTTTCTAATGAAATCGTTTCGGTCTGGGCGGTAAGCGTTATGTTTATTAAGTTCTCCACCGAGAACATTGAGCGGTATTTGGTTGCATTCTATTTTTGCCTTGGGCCTTACGAGGTTAAACGCGATAGAATCCGTAAAAGTAGTTTTATTCAATGTGTAGTGTTCGCGTAAATATAAGAAATCATTAGGAATAAAATAATTCACCTTCTCAAGTCGGGGCTTTAATCTTTCTATGGCTTATGTCTTAGCACCGACTCCAGCATTTGAAATTGTTTATTTTTAATTATTTTAAGTGTTTTTTAAAGATATTATAGTACTATAATATACAATTGAAAATTCACTCTACAGCAGCACGAATGGCTCGGTTCCGTCAGAGAAGAACCACGGTCACAAAGAAATGGAATACCAGCGTGAAATAGCAGCATAATGTTACTATGTTTTGTATAGTGAGTGACGAGAACCGGATAGGTACCCTTTTTACTGTTAACGAGGCATTCCATCTTAGCCCTCAGGTTCCCTTCTTCAGACATGTTCACCTCACATTGTAGGAATTTGCCATAATCATCACGCTTAGCAGGAATATTGACGATTGCAGTACTAGTCACACAATTTTCTATTTTAGTTTTCTATCAAAATCCACTGTTGAAACATCACCTGAATCGCAACTAAAATACACATCGCAGCTGCCCGTCACCAATGCAGGCCTGCGTATACCGCCATCTATCGGAAGCCATATTGATTTTTCTGGCATATTTTATATGAGTGTAGAGTACAAGGAGAACCATCTTATAAGGGGTGAAAGTAGAAAAAGTGTCCTACTATTTACTGAAAATAGAGGTTCCAAAACCTACCACAATAGCGCTGGCGTCTGAAAAACTACGATATGAAGATAGCTGTTGTGAACCGAGTGAAGTCAGCTGAATTCAAATATTTAAAAAATTTCATGACTAGAGTAGTTAGTAAAATGTCAGTATACAAAATCTCAACTATTTACGTAGTACAAAACCAAGCGGATTGGTCGGTCCTTGTTTATTTCTCCATCTTATTCTAATTACTTTTGGACATTAAGTTATATGTACTACGTACTAGAGAAGCCATTCCGATCATTGACTATGTTCAACTGAACTGTAGTGCAATTCATACAAACTAAATATTGCGTAAATTGAAGATTTGTGAATTCCATAAAATAATTATTATTACATTTTATTTAGAAATATGTTTGTTTAGATTAAATTAAGATATTTTATATTAAATTCTTATATTTATTTTATATTAATATCTTATTTTATGCTTCGCGCACGCTCGACTACTACTCCCGCGCATGCGCGAAAACATAGAGTAGGACACAATTTTTGTTTGGAAAGGCTTCTCTAGTACGTAGTACATATAACTCAATGCTTTAGGCGCTTTTTTTAAAGTTATCCTATGCTACTGCAGCGCCACCCTTATTGGACACGTTTTTAGGCAGCTGAATTCAAATATTAAAAAAATTTAATCACTAGAGTAGTTAATAAAATGCCAGTATGCAAAATCTCAACTATTTACGTAGTACAAAACCAAGCGGATTGGTCGATCCTTGTTTATTTCTCCATCTTATTCTAATTACTTTTGGCGCTTTTTTTAAAGTTATCCTATGCTACTGCAGCGCCACCCTTATTGGATACGTTTTTAGGGACACTTTTCATATATAGAGATGGTCCTCCTTCTACTCTACACTCCATAACACCCTACATAAATAATGTGGGGCACATATCTTTACAATGGACTTTTCAAGGCTGGTGGAGAAGAAGTCAGCTTTTATTTTTATGTAGTAAAACTACTTTTCGATCTGGTGTTATGTTATGTGTTATCTAAAATTAACTTACAACCAAACACGTTAGTACTGCTGAACATCCTTTCTAAGGGTAAATTAAAAACTACACGCTCAGGATCTCTGCCAGACGTTGCCATCTGACTGATGCTAGAGTTTAGTCCGGAGATAGGATCCCAATCTGGACCCCATACAACATCGTATTGTATGAATATTTTATCGTCAAATACACCACCAGGAAATATAACATATTCTATTTGGCCATTAAAAGATATAAGAAACTTGGTTAAGTCACTTTTTTTCATTTGAACGAATAAAATACGAAGGTTAAAATTACAGCTAAATGAAAAAAGTAAATTATCACAACACAAAATCACAAATCACAAAAGCAAAACAACCGTTACTATAGCAACTGTATTGCCATTCTCAAAACTACTTACTTTAATTATAATTCTTTTAAAATTTTATAAAAAAGGAATATTTTTATTAATACAATTCTGAATCCAAACTTTAAAATCCGTAACTCTGAATATATTTATAAAAATCAGTAAAATATTTAAAAGTAATGATGTGAGTGACCATTAAATAACCAAAGACAATAAAACTTTGGTTTCCGCTATACCGCATTACCGACGTTTTACAGTTTAATAAATGTTGCCGGAAGATGGCGTTAAGCGTGCTTTCAAAAATCCAAATCGTCCACCATTGTTGGAAGTGATCCTTGTGCATAGATTCGTTAATTTGCATTTTTTTCTAACAGTTTCTAGCAAAAATTAAGTTATTTGTTAGTAAGATATAGTGATTAATATCTTAAGAACGTTAATCCAGTTGTTATTAAAGTGAACAGTGCTTATTTTCAAACCTAATAAGCGTTTGAAATGTCACGCGAAGTGAGCATCAGGACTGTGGACTCCATACCATACACGAAATAAATGTGGTTTTCTTCGAGATCTGTGTCTTGTAAACTATAGAAAAGTGTTATCGCTATTTTAGGATATGTAAAAGACATGTTGGAAACTTGAAATATGAACATGAGCACATGAAAACGTTTCAGAATTTTCTGTACACGTCGTAGGACAGCGCAGTTACGCGTGTGAGGGCTTAAAAGTTGCCGGCATCATTATGGTGGACTAAAACGTCGTTTGTTGAACAATCGGTGTTGTATACGTATTTTAAACAGTGCCGCGAGGACACCGCGCACAATGTCAGGCGGCTCCCAACACAACCCGAATGGTCGACAATCTCAATTGGGCCCCGGTTGGAGCCCTTTACAGGTGGTGCTTATTTTTCTGATTTTGCTTGTATGATCTCTTTATATTATTATATTTAAAAAAAGTATCCACTTTACTCAGTTATTTTATGAAAATAAAAATATTTTCGAACGTCGTCACGAAGTAGAATAAGGCTTTATTGAACTTTAATGCTAAGAAAAAAAAATTCTACGTTTACAAAACTTCACAGAATATTTATTGAAAAATTACCTACAAATTATGCATGTGTGCTGATTACATTACAAGCTGATCAGCTGTTTGTATTACACATGTTAACAATGCTGCAATAATCAAGTGTTGCCATAATATAATAGAACACCTTTAATACTTTGGTCTTATTATTAATGATTATTTTAATATTAGAAATTTAAATAATAAATCTGTATTTTAAAAGTATAAAATACATTTATTTGCAAAACGTAGTAAAGTAATTGTAGAAGATGTAAAATATGAAACATTCAAAAAAAAAATTAGGTGTTACCATAATCAATAATAAATGTAACATTAAATTCTTATCTTGATAGCAATAGAAATAAAAAATAAGAATAACAATGAAATACTTATGAGATTGTCATTTTGTATTAGGTTGAATGATTTTTTTTAATATCCATTTGTATATATTATATGAATTGCTTTTAAAATGCCTTGATTTTTGACAAGCTTAGCTATAGATTTATTCACCACCTAAATTACTTTAGCATCATTTGAGAGCTATGATGATTATGTTTTTATAAAATTATATACAGAATTATTCCAGTATCTCCATTGAAACATTAAATAAACTGTATGTTGTAAAAATCTAAAGGTTCAAGAGTACAGTGGCTTAGAATTAGCTTGCAGCGCTGTGGGCAACTGGTTCAAATCCAGTATGAAATGCTTAGTAAAGGGAATTGCTCTGATTGTAAGGGTAATTTGGCTCAACGTGAACATTAACTATTATTTAATGACTGGGGTTTTTAATAGTTTATACCTCAAAGAAACGAACTATATTAATAAGGTTGCAAGAGAGTGTAAAAATAGTTCATTCTTCATATTTAGGATGTGTAATGATAAAACTTATTGCTGAAAAAAGTTACAATTATGAGTATCTCTTGTCATTTAAAGCCAGTTCAAAGTTTAACAAAATAGCGCCAGGGTCATTATCATGAGCAAATTCAGTGTCCAACTGTAAAGCCTCCAATTGGAGCAGTATCGGAGTCCGTTATAACAAAAAAATACTTCACAAAAATAACTAAAACAACATTCACAATACATGGAGGCAAAGCTAATGTTTTTTCTTTTTTCACTAATTGGATGTAAAATGATTTGCAGGCCAAAACAATGACTGATTTCTTTATGTAATTAAAGGAAAATAAATATAATAAAAACCTGAAAATCACTTGATTGCACATTTTCGAGAAAATACATTTTTTTTACTCCGATTTAGAAATTGATTATTAAGACTGTAATCACAATTATTATTAATGTGGCAACACAGAATCAGCCTCCAACCAAAAAAATGGCGACGCGTTTTGAACTCAATCGGCTTAAATACTTAATAAACAACTTGTTTTTAAATTTACGTTCCTACCATGACTATTAAAAAAATATGAATTTTAGATTTAATTATATTTTTTCATAAAAATACTTTTTACAGAACATGTTAACCCAAGACTGAACAATCCCCTTTAGACTAGAAACTAAAAGAATAATGGATTTAGACTAAATAAATAATGGATCTTATAAACATAGGCCAGTAGCAGTGTACCAATATCAACATGAATAATTTTTGTGTGCCACATTACAAAAATTATTCATAATGTTTTTACTGCAGTACAAATGGGTTGGTTTGACCAAAAAGAAGACTACACTCACACACAATATCAATGTAAAATAGCAGCACAGTCAACACAGCAGGTGGTTAATATGATGACTAACAAGAACAGTAGATTTTTTTTACCAGTAACAACTCGTCTTAGTTCTCAAGTGTGACTGAGGACTAAGATGACTGTGTAATGCATTTGTATCTTGATTCTTAATTGAAGAAAAATCAAGGTGCCACAGTATCCACTACCATCAGGTGGACTGTGTGCTGGTCTGTCACCCTTTTAATATAATAAAAAATTATATTTCAGTGATTATTAATCAAAGGCAGATGGCTGTGGGCACAGCAACATTTTTTTTTTACCTTCAGGTGGACTGTGTGCTTGTTTGTCACTTTACTTCTATTAATAAAGTATTGACAAATCTCCAAATTTTAGACAAGCTTATTTTGATAGTTTGATAATACAGAATTGTGTTATTACATGCTAAAGATTAATTTTTTTGGATACCAAAGCAAAAACATTGCCCTTTCTCTTTCTTATTCATTGTCTTATTCCATTATCTCCTTGATGATGATTTGCTTCTGACCTACCCATCCACATAAATTTATTATCATTTCAAAATTCTTAAATATATATTATAGCTGACATATTTTGTTTGTCTTATAAATCAGTATTTTAAAAAGGTATCTTTTATTAGTTTACAAGCATGCAATTGTTGTACAACTTTTATTAGATATTGGACTGTTGTGCTTTAAGCAACATTGACAGCAGAAACCCCAGACTGAATTCTGGGGTAAACATCTTTAGATGGATTTTTAACTATTAATTAGTACATTGCCAAGAGCCTCATTAATCAATATATAATAAGGGTGACATTCAAACACAGTTTATCCGATGGTAACTAGAATCTGCTGCCCATAGACATCTATATTTATCCTCAATTAAGAATCAAAATAGAGATTCATTGCATTGTCACCCCTGAGGACTAAGCTGGAATGCCTTGTTTCCAGTAAAAAAGGGTTTCTGGTTCTCTATATTCACCATATGAAAAACAGCATCATTCAGCTGCAATTTTATGCTGGTATTCTGTGAGAGCGTAGTCCTTCCACGATCAAGCTGACCTATTAGGGCTATTATCATGATATAGCTGCAGCATGGCTCTATCATGTGCAAATTCAAAACTTATTTTAGACATAGAAATAATAAATCCCAATCAATTGTAATGTTAATTTTTTTTATAGGATAAGTGTAAAAAGTGAGCACACAGTCCACCTGATGGTAAGTGGTTGTGGCCCATAGACATCTACATCTATCCTCGATTATGAATAAAAATGATATGTGAGATGCTACTTATGTAGACACTGGCAGCTACTTGCCTCAGGGTTACCTCACTTAAAACTGGGGTGGCAGAGGCAGCTAAACTAAGTAGGTGGCGCAGAGTCTCTGAGGGATAACTACATATTTGTGCCATTTGCTGTAGAGACTATTGATCCGTGGGCTCAATGTGCGGTGAAGTTCCTAAAGGAACTTTATCCGCAACTGGTTGTCACTGCTGGTGATAAGAGGGCTGGTTCTTTTCTCGCTCAAAGGCTAAGTATAGCCATTCAGTGAGGAAACGCAGTCAGCGTTCTTAGCACGATACCACAGAGAATAGGACAGTATGATAATTTAGTTTTTAGTTTTTTTTATATTGTATTTAAATTATTGAAACAAATAAAAATGTAATTCGTTATTAAATAATTTGAGTTGTAATCAGAGAGATGCTGCTGCCAATTTCCTGTTTCATTCCGATCTGTCGCATCTCACGACATCCAATTGAAGATATTTTGTGCAATAGATGGGATTGAGATGGGGTAGTTGAATTTCTAATGTAGGCACTTCTCAACTTTATTCTATAAAAAGGTAATTAAAATATTTAGATATGGTTGTGTGCAAGTTGAAAATGATCCGATGGCCGCACGCTACTCGCTGTCCATATATTTTCCATGACATTCTACTCACACTTTGAGTGCTCTTTGGCCGAGCCGAGATTGTATTCTTTGTTTCAAAAAGCAAGTCATCAAGGATCCATCTATAACCACATGTTTACAATTTGAAATAGAAACCATATGGTTTGTGTGTAGCCTCATTTAACGAAAACTGCAAACATTTTAATTTAAATATGTAAATTCATAATTAAGCAGTGCCAAAACGCCTGCCTAGCATGACAACTGTAGCAAATATCCCCTC